TTTTTTCCAACAAGTAGTATTTCAGAGCATACATGCTGGCTCTACTAGGCCTCTACCAAGGTTTCCGTGGCTGCTGTTGAAGTGGTGAGACTGTCTCTTAGAGCTGTATCTCATAGGACTTGTCGTGCGTATTTACGTAATCAATTCAAAATTTGTCACCTCTCCTCGATCTTTTACGAAACCTCGAACTGGACGAACTCGAACAGGGCAGAAACCGGCAAACATCCCTGTATTTAGGGTAGCTTTCTACGGAGAAACGACTGCTTATGGGAGAACATATTATTTCTTACCGTTAAGTAGAAGAAACGCAAACGTCTTCCGTCCTTCCCTAAGTAGCGTAATCATTTGAATACATTCACTCTTAAGCCTTTCCCCCTTTTTTTCAGACATCCCTCGAATTTAATGCTGAACCGCTTGAGTGGAAAGATCTGTCATATCGACTTTGGTGACTGTTTTGAGGTATGCCTCTGTTTAATTCTCGTCTTTGTGATGATATGGCTTGTTTTACCCCTCGTTCTTTCCAATTGTTCTCTTGTTTTAATGTTTTAATTTAGGTTGCTATGACAAGAGAAAAGTTTCCCGAGAAAATTCCATTTAGACTCACAAGAATGCTGACAAATGCAATGGAGGTAAGAAATTTTTTGCCCGATTTATGCAGTATAGAAAGTAAATTTCCAAGTTAACCATACGTGATATTTAAGTCGTGGAAGGTATTGTTAACGGTTTTGTCCTTTTAATCTTTTTCTCCTTTAGGTGACTGGCATTGATGGTAATTACCGAATGACCTGTGAAAGCGTTATGCGTGTATTGCGTGCCCACAAAGACAGCGTGATGGCCGTGCTTGAAGCTTTTGTTTACGATCCTTTGCTGAACTGGAGACTGATTGATTGTAAGATTTAGATACACTTGTATGGTCCCGTTCCCTCATCTTCTCCTTTGCAGTTCCTTTTGCAACATACTTTTTTGCTCAGTGAATTTAAGTCATATTGCTTTCGCGGTAAAAGGCTTCCGTGGTTTTGAAAAACTATTTCCCGGCAGGGAAGTATAGTGTATGTTTTAATTCGCAGTCATCCGAAGAGCATAACGTTTGTTATGGAGTACCGTAGGGATCCCTTCTTGGGCCCTTGTTGTTCATTGTCTACCTCAATGAACTAGCGAGTTGTGTAAAATATTGCTCAGTAAATATGTACGCTGACGTGACAATAATTGGTCAAATGGTACACCATTCCCTTCCGAAAAACTAACCCGAATAAATTGTAAAGTTGATGCTCACAGAAAAGCAGATACACTGCGCAACTTCTAAGATATTTCTTCGCAAAATTTCACGGGACCTCAACGGTATCAAACCGTCTAAACCCCTGTTTTCAGCAAATGTTGAAAGAATGTTGAGATAATACTCTGACCGCTTTTCCGGGTATCCCATTAACGAAACCAGTCCGGAATGTATTGTCCTCAATTTTCACTGAAGTTAACCCACGTCCACCTTTTTGTCCTTTCTCCACAGCGACTCCAAAAATCAAGCGTTCCAAGGGACGGTCAGATACGATCTCGGATGGAGGAGAAGGTCGGTCCTTAACGAACGTTATTTAATGCAATTATTATTTTTAGATATTTTTTACTAAGTTCCTTTTCCGCACTTTTTTATTAATTTTTATTAATTTTTTTGATTGTTTGTTTGTTGGCAGATTTATTGGAAGGCGTTGAAGTCAACCCTGAAAGACCTTCCAAGAAACAATCTGAACACCACATGCCATCTTTTGGTAAGTACAAACAAGAGGCACTTAGGTTTAGTTTTCCTTTACCCTTTGTTGATGATCGTGTGTCATTTCAAAGTGTTTATTGCCCCTTCAATTTCGTGTACCTTCGTGTACCCCTCTTTAAAAGAGAAGGGCTTGTGAGAGAAGAAAACACTGAAAATAAAGAGGAATTAGGAGACCAGGTGAAAAGTGGATTCAGAGGGTCGTCCCCTTTCCGATAACAACAGCGGTAGGAAAAGTTGGGATGGGAAGAAGTGGTACCAACGGTCAGTGCAATAATATATATGCACTCTATTTGATCGTCAAAGTATTAAGCAGTAAAGTACTAAATAATTATTTAGGATACTATTTTTTACGTCTACAACTGGTGACTGACCCGCCATTTCACTTGGTCACCCGAGCCGAACGAAGGTCAAGCCGCTTGCAGAAGTGCAAAGGGAGTACCTTTATTTCTGATTTATTTCAAGACCTTGAGTATTGGTCTGGCCCAGGGAATCGAACCCGTGACGTCCCGCTCTAAGATCAAGCGCTCTAACGAGTGAACTAATCCTGCCGTGGTTTGGCAGGATCAGCTTTGTCGCAGTTCGTATTTCTAGCGGACAACATAAAGGTGGATAGACTATTAACTCATTCAGGGTAATTTTCTACCGTGCTATTTCTTCTTTTCTTGCAGAAGATGACAGTGGCCATAAACCCGAGGCACTAAACAAGAAAGCTGTTGCTATTGTCAATCGTGTTAGAGACAAATTAACAGGTAAATGCATTGTTTTGTTTACGTCACTAGGGAAGGTTACAGTCTTCTACACCGAAGACTAGACCCAGTTTAAGAAGGGCGGAAGGGCCTGAAATGCATAAGTGTACTCATGTTTGTTAAACTCTGCCGGATTTATTGGCTTGCGTTAAAGACACTGTGATTGGACTGCTAGGGCAAGATAAGGATGAGTTCACGTTCTCAGACAAAGTTCGAGTGCTTTAGTGTCAGACCAATCAATTCCCTCAAGTCCGGGCTCCAATCCTGGTAAGCAATAGAGAAAACGGATGGCTCTGAGGTGAAAACTTCAATTCTTTAGTGTTCACGCACTTGTTTATTTGTTTGTTTTCTAGGTCGCGACTTCACCAGTCATAACAACCTTGATGTGACAACACAAGTTGATCTGTTGATTAAACAGGCCACCTCTCACGAAAATCTCTGCCAGTGCTACATCGGATGGTAGGAAGATAAAGAGTATTACACGTCTGCTAGATCAGCTTATCGTGACTTGTCGGAACCATAAAAACAGCATTTTCGTTTTCGTTGCGACACATGCATAATAAGCATAAGCACAGACAGAAGGGCGACATCATTCTTGTATATTCACCAGATTTCAAATACGTCATCACGTTTTTATGATTGCTAACATGTCAACTATCAACATTCCACTTCTAGCAGTGTGTGGGGTGTTTGTCACATGAGCCTAGTTTGATGTCCGTACCTCACACCTGTAGCTCAGCTGTTAGCGTCAGGCTAGACTACAATGGAGGTCAAAAGAGATTGGGACATTGTGGAGAAACACTCCCAAGTAATTATTGCATAGGACTATGCTCCTAGTGACAATTTTTTTTTTTCATCTACTTTGAGTTCATCCCTTCATCCCACCCATTTTGCTCAACATTCAACATTGTTTGAGGAGGGAGGGAGAGGGTCGCTATTTTTACTGATATTAGTAGTCCCAACACTTCTGACCTCCACTGTAGTTACGAGAAGGTCATAGATTCGGCTCCTGAAAGGGGAACTCAGTATTGAAGTGAAGTCTGTGTCACTGACTGAAAAGTATCATTATCATAAGCGAAAAGATGCTGGTGCATAGAGGTTAAGGATCATCTTAAACGTTTTTTCACTGGGAATAGGAGTAGGTGTCCCAAATAGTTCACATGGTTCTTACGTTCGGACTTACTTAGTATGGGCAAGGCTATACTGAACTGAATATTTTGGGATTGTAACATCTTGTTTGCTCCTTCTGCATTAATACCTACCTTATGAATACATTCAGCGTCGTAAATGTTTTATTTTTCATTAACTTATTTTATTTGTGTTCGTCCTCAGGTGCCCGTTTTGGTAAAGTGTTGCAGAAGAATAATCCTGCGCCAATGATACAGTGGAAGAATTCTGGAACTGTCAGAATCTCATCTCATACGGAGCATTATAATAGCTGTGGATGGGGTGGGGGGGGGGGGGGGGGTTAGTGTGTTGGACGGTGTGGCTGGTGATGCGAAATGGGTAGCGAAGGAGTGTGGGTAGGATATGGTATAGGGAGGTGTGGCGGCGGTGGAGTGGGGGGGGGGGTGTGCGGGGGGATAGTAGGGGGGGGGTGGGGGGGGGGGGGGGGGGGGGGTTCTAGCCGCTTGAATTTTTTTTTTCCGTCTTATTTCCTTTTTGACGAATATCCCCCCCCCCTGCCCCCATAAGTTTTCTAACGGTCCGTCCCTAAATGGCTGTCGAATACCGACGGTGGACAGATAAAAAATGCATAAAACGAAGATCTTCGCTCCGAATCGCCGGACACACGTACAATTTAGCAGTTCTCTGTAAAAGTATGGAATCTTTTGTACGATATTGTAAACAAATTTGTGAATAGGTTTATGATTTGAAATGTAATTTTGTGAAGATCTCTTCTTTGCAATGTATGGTGAAAATGAATAAACGTTGAAGGGACTGATACTACGAATGGCTAAATTAGTCTCTGAAAGGATTGAGTAAGTTACGAATTTGTATTGGTTCTTGGATTTACGTAGTATGGCATGTCACTAGCCGCCACTTGCGTATTTCCCATAATACACCTTGTTTGTCCCACAGCTCTAAAAAATCTCATACGTCATCGATTGAACTAACCAGACGGCGAGCTACTCTATGTATGACGCAGTCTTTGGAAGGTAAGTTACCATTCCATTGCTAATATTTCTCTGCTTTGTGTATGGTTCATATGTGCATGTAATGTACGGTTTTATACCTTTCGTAATATAATGTGTCCCCTCCAATCGTGTCATTATCGATCGGTGAGGGGTGTTGCACAAAGCGCCATGGTATTATACGATATGGCACGATGCGGTGTGTTATCGTACGTGTATGTTATTGAACTACATAATTATTTAAAACGTTATCGAAAAAGCTCGAGAAAAAGTCTAAAAAATATGCTTCATTGGGCTTGTTTACGAAATGTTTTCGTGAGCAACACTGGTCTTTATTAAATGTTGGAAACTTCTAATTCACGCATACCACGCATAACCATCAATGCACATCTGGCCGCTGTTAGTGCGCTCGCCACAGTTGTACAAGTCTCTACCAAACCATACTTGGAATTCTTGCCCAGAATACACGGCCAGAGGAGAAGGAAGGTTGTTAAATTGAAGAATAGAAGCGTTAACAGCTACTTTGTCGAGCTTGTATGAATAATATCCACAACCCTTGCCGTCTCCTCGATATTCTGCGAGTTGCAGAGCAGTCTTGTTCGCGAACGTTATGATGGTCCCTAACTGTTTGTCCCCATACGTGGGATGTGTGCATCCCCAATATGATGCAGGCGCACTTCCGTGACAGCGTACACTACCATGCAAGTGGACGAGTTTAAAGGTGTAGATAGATCCGTTTTCTATGATATTGAAAGTCCCGTATGAGTCACCTCCCGCTCCAAAGCATATGGGTTCATTATTGATCTTTTTCCAGTTTACTGAAAAAAAGGAGGCAACTACAGTTTTCCTTTTTTCAAGGAAAGAAAAGAACAATTGAGCTAGCGAGAAAAAAATCATAATCGTAATTATAATTACAGCCAAACGTAATTCAAATTTACTAACTATAGAGCAAGCCGACATAATTGGCATAATTCTTTAACAACAACAACAAATTCTTTAGAACGTCACATGGTCGCTCAGCTTAAAGATAATTAAGAGGGAATTTCAGAAAATATGGACCGGAAGTGTGCAATCCCGTGGAAATTCCAAAAACAAAAAAATTTTACAGCTCGCAAGCTGTAAATTGCGCTGAAAGAAAGCAGACAATTTAGCAGAAACTGGAACTATCTATCGGCCATTATCATGAGCCACGCTGATTTAGCTGACACTTATATTTCGGTAGAATAAGACCAGGTTCTAAGTTATTCATGGTTCTCACCGCACATTTCCAAAAATAACAGTCTTAGGCATCTAAGAGGATTAAAAAGGGGTAACGTACATTGTAAACGAAAATATACTAAATAAATTAACTAATGAGTAAATAATAAATGAACCCTGAACGAATTGGAATTATAGTAAAGTTACCTATGCATCGATATCGTTTATTGGTAAAGCCTGTTTGACATCTGTAACCTGGAGGACATGGCCTGCTTGAGCAATAATTCTGTTGAAACAATAAAGAATACTTGCTGTTGTTTCTTCGATAGAATCGTGATAATTCTTAATCATTATTTTACAGTTAACTGTCATTCTTATTACGACTGTTATTATTATCATTATCATTTTCATGATGATGATTGATTGATTGATTGAACATATAAATTAAAGCATTAACTTTTTAAGTGTTGTAGAATGTGTGTCAACAATGGTTGCACTGAAAAAGCCAGACCCTCCCCTCCCCCACCGCCGAGGATGATTTTTTTTAACTCTATAGACTGCCGCACACCCTTTTAGATGCCAGTCCCTAACGGTGTTGCTTTAATGAGAGCTGACTGTAATATTCCGAAGTTAAGTTCTGCTTTATTGAAGCCTACATTGACAGTATATATGTTTTCACTGACCAACGCAGACTTGTAGATAAACTTCGGTCGTTCCTTCAGATCCTCAGGATGTAGATGGTGATCAGAGCGGCTCAGTTCACATAAATGCTTTCCTTGAGTCTCTGGTCCAAAGTTGATTGACATGCAGTCGTCATCTTCAAAGCAGTTGGCTTCACACGATTCTCCTGATTTTACCCAGAAGCTTTTCATCACATGACCTTCCAAGCTGCGTTTAGGGGTTGGAGGCTCGAACTGCACCACTCGACAATCTTGCAACACTGAAATTCCCTCTATTAAAGGAATTATACTACTACATGAGAAATTTCTGCAATTTGATTGGCTTATAGCAGTGGTATTTCACCTTAATTTGAAACACCTACATGTGAAAATTACAAACCTTTTCCGGGTAGCAGTATAAACGAATAAAACAAACAATGATAAGCTGCTAAGGTTTATGCATCGTGAAGAGGCACAATTTTTTCTATTTTACATGATCTCTTCACTGAATCCAGTACAATATACGCCTGGCAGAAATAGAGTAAATAGTTACAAGTAGCGTTATTGCAGACAATTGAATTATAGAATTCACCTGACGAGCCCACTTATGTCCAGGTTCTCACGCAGCTGCGAAAAAACTGCGATTTTCCCGTGTTTGCGAGATTTTGTTGGGCCCCCCTCTACCTCCTCGCCTCCTCTAACACTTAAATTTTCCAGTGTCAACAAAGTCTGCGATTTCTCCAGTTTTTCGCATTTGTTACAGCTGCGTGCAAACTTGGACATGTCTCTCTCGACGAACCGGGAGAGGGAGAATGCCCTGTTCCCATCCAATTTTGTTTTACACTGTGCATCACCTACTGCGCATTATGACGTCAAAAGTTGCATGTTCCCCCTCCTAGCGCGCCCGAGTTCCCTCTTCCCCTCACCCGTTTAACGCCTGCCACGCAGGCTACGCCAAAAGTGGCAGTGATCTTTACCGGTCGCCAGAACTGTTACAACAACGGTCGCGTTTGTAGTCCAAAAGTCGTAACATAAAGGTGATGCTTTTGGCTTAATTTCTCAATATTTCAAGTTGCGCGCATAGTTTGCCTTTTTCGTATGTGCGGCCAGTATCATTTCACGTTGAGGTCAGCCAAATTAAATAATTTATGAAATCTCTCAAAGAATTTTTCTAGCGTTCTCTCGGCTTAATTCGCCCCTCCACGAAACAGAAAGTTACCCCGTATCAGTTGGTTGTCTCGCCAGCCAAATAATAAACTTTGCAAAACCTGTCGTTTACCGGCCAGTTTCTTTGGTGGAGCGCAATTAAGAGACCTTTGAAAAGTTTTTTTCGCCGCGTTCCAGCCTAACTTAACCGCCAGTTATGCGGCTTTGACTAGGTGAAAAAAAGAATGTTAGCCTACCAACTGAGTAGCCATGCCATTTTTTGGTGAAAAACCAGACTATAAATGTTGCAAAACGTAATATCAGAAAACCTCGTCAAGGCCGCAGAACGAGAGACATTGGATCCATGCTACTCGTCGCAAAATAGGCCAGCAGAAAAACACCCAAAGGTCACAATTGACAACAGTGAAATTAACTAAGAAAGGATAAATGGATACGCACGTGATCAATTATTAAAATTAAGAAAATAAACAATAAAATCGATTTTTTGTGTTTATTTTCATATTATGACAATATATCTTTGAAGCAACTGGGGGCTGCTTGCTGCTTTGTACACGAATATGAGTCAACCTTTAATAGCCAGCGCAGCTGTCGGAATTTTTTTTGCGCGTGTGAGAGGTTTGGCGGCGAAGACATTCTTGCGGCATATTGCCGCGAGAAGCGAGCGCCGAAGGCACGAGAAATTTCCAAGCTTCTCCTCTTCATTTTCCTCAGGGCTTCTCAGTTCCTCTGCCAAAAATTTGCTCGCGCTAAGTAACAATCCGTCCACGCAGGCTGAATCTTTAATAGATGACCTACCTAAACGCATGGTGTAATGAAAACAAGTGATATTAATGTTTGATGACCTTCTAGAAGTACAAATGTAAAGAAAGAGAAAAGCAAATAATACACCTCTCAGGGAGATACGATTTTAGCTTCCTTTGCAGTTTCTTTTGTTGTTACGGTACATACAAAAAGAATCTGTTATTGCTAATTTTTCAACATTAATATTGACTCACTTTCTAATATCAAGTTTCCCCTGCCCAACATATAATCCTAATTGATGAATGTTAGGATCGATTTTTACAATTCATCCTAATAGGTTCTTCGAGATCTATTTGGATTTTTTTCAAGAAACGTAACCCGGCCAATGTAAAAAATAAGATAGCAAACATTGCTTTTCTTCTCTTCTCCTCCTTTCCATCTCCTCGTTCTTTAATACGTATATTTTTTCTTTTCCTTATTCTGGTGCGATTTTCCAGCAAAAAAATTCCTTTTGACCTCCTTTTTCAGTCCAATGGCTTAAATGTTGTGGTAGGTGCGTTTTAAAAAATCAGGCCACAGATACATCACATTTTAGCGGGAAATCAGGCTTCTCAATCTTCGCAATCAAGCCTGTTTAAGGCTAAAGTAGCAGCAAAACTTTTGGGGGCTTCCAGTTCTTCAAAGAAAATCAAGGGCGCTTTCCATTTAGGTAAAAAATCCGGAAATTTCGGTGAGAATGGATTTTTCCGATAGGTAAAAAATTGTTCCATTTGATCGTAAACCCTGGTACGGCGCTGAGCGCTTTACCCGACCTGAGACCAAGATGGCTGCCGAGTTGGCAACAATTTTGCAACTGGTATGAAGTACGAGAAACGGGAACACGAATTCCGTTCGGCAAGTTCCAACCGGGAAAACGGGCCTACCTATTTAGGTTTTCTACGTTTTCCTGGAATTTTCCAGTGAGACGAACCGACGAAACGTTTTCCAGTTACTGCCGAATCGAAATTTCAGGAAACTTTGACTAAATGGAAAGCGCCGGCCCAATTTTTCCATTTTTCTCATCTTTGAGTGTTTCAAGGCATCCGCTAGGAATTCAACGATCAGGACGATTATGATTACAACGATCTCCCCTCCGTCTCGTTCCATGTCTGTGAGATGGATTCGCCTCATTTAAGGGAATACGGATTCCGGAATCCGAATAATTTTTGCTTGTGGAATTTTGCAACCTCGGAAAATTTTGGTTATGGAGTCCGGAATCCTGGGGTTTGGAATCCGGAATACAGCTCAAGGAATCCGCAAATGCAATCCCACTGATGATTAGAATGCAGAATCCAAGTTTCACTGACAAAGACTGGAATCCAGTACCTGGAATCTGGAATCCACAGCTTGGATTCCAGAATCCAAGACTGTCTTGGGTTCCCTCACTTGGGGCGAATGAATGGAGGTCAATCTCAAATACGTGGAGTTCCAAAATTACGCCATCCGAAAAATGACAGTGCGTTGACTGGTATCTAGTTTTTTTTTGTCGTTGTCATCATGATCATCATCACCAGCAGCAACAACATGAGCATTTTTTTTTTCTTACTGTACTCTGGTACATCCTGCTGACAGCTCAAGAATACAGTGCATGCACGTCGACACAAATTACGCCTGCATTGTTGTCCTCCGAGCAATTGGTAAAGTCCTGGCCGAACCATATCTGGAAATTGTCATCTACTGATGCGGCTAATGGAATGTCGAAAGGTTCGAAGGAGAGTAACGTAGAATTAAGACTCGAACCATTGATGTTGTACTGAGGATTGCAGGGGCTGCCGAATATTTTGGCAGGTTGAAGACGGGTTCTATTTTGGAAGGTCACGAGGGTCATTAGTTTGCCTTGGGCTAAACTGGGGTGATCGCAGCCCCAATAAGACGGGGGGTACATGGGATTACAACTCAGGAACCCATTGATATGGGTGAGAGTAAGCTTCATAATGGAGCCTGCTTTACTAAATGCAAACTCCCCATAAGTGTCGTCTCGTGCTCCGTAACAAAGTGGAACTGAGTTCAGTTTTTCCCATTTTTCTGTAAGAAAGATAAAAAAATAGAGGTGAAGAATATATTTGATAGACACAATTCTTAACTTCTTTGAGTCCCCTGTGGTTTCCCTGGGTGCCCTATTGCTTGGCATTCCAGAAATTCCAAAATAGCGCTCTCGCATGCATTTTGCAGGGGCTTGCAAATCAGCTTCACAAAGCCTTCAAAAAAGACAGAAAAAAGGTTGCTTCAGCGTGTTCACATTTGGCAAGGTACACTGGAATAGATTGTTTTCACATGATGTCACGGCGGCCATATTGGTGTCCCAAACAATGAAACGGCGGCCATGTTGGTGTCCCAGACCAATCCTGTGGGAGTGGAACTCTTTTCAACGCTTTCTTTTGTTCCAATAAATTTGCATAGATGCTGGCCACGTGAGTGACAACGCTCTATATGAGAAGACCCTTTCGACAAGGTTGGAAAATTTTCCGGGCACTTTTAAAAATTATTTAACCGTCATTCGCTACCACTACCTGGTAGTTTGAGTTCGAATTCAGTTCATACCTTTTTCGCATTGTTCTCCAGTTCGACCAGGAGGACAAAGACAACGATATCCCTTGTCAGTAAAACCACTTAAACAGGTCGCGTTGAAAAGGCAGGGGTTGCTGGAACATGCATTCTGGCAAGAAAAAGTTAAGCTTAAGGTATCTTGTTTCTTTGTTTTGTCTCGTACGTTATTTAAAGGTAAGCTGTTTTATTATTATTATTATTATCATTATCATTATCATTATCATTATCATTATCATTTTCATTATCATCATCATCATCATCATCATTATCATTATCATTATCATTATCATTATCATTATCATTATTATTATTATTATAATTATGATTGCTATTATTATTATCATCGTACAAACTAACGAAACAAAACAAAGGCTCTCTTGTGTCTTTTCATGTTTTGCTGTTGTTTTGTTTATGTTTTGTTTCTTTGTTTTGTCACGTACCTAATAATCTTTGTTTACCCTTACCTCCGTGCCGAATACTGCTGCTGACACTATGATTTAGTTGGATACTCTGGCGAAGCAGCTCAACTGAGTAGTAATGTATAATTGACTTTAAGTGATGGGCAATATTACAGAGCAACGATCTCAATCGGGGCTACCCAGCATTAATCGACCAATCACTAGCCACATTCTCAAAAATTTAAATAAACTATAAACTTGAAACTCGATACATGAAAATATGTCGACTTAGGTGGTTCATTAGCCAATCATAAGGAGAACCTGAATTTGTTCCACTCACTAAAGTCAGCCTACATGAAATGAAACAACACGTCCTTGACCAAGTTTCTTACCTCTGTGTAATGATACGTAAAGTTTTCCCATGGTGTAAGATTCAGTGGATGCTGAATGTGGTCATGTTCATTAAGTTCACATACCATTGATCCAAAATTAATCGAAACACATCTTTTCTCCCGAACGCATTCACTTTTACAGTCTCCAACAGTTTCCAGTGAAAGATTTTTTATCATGTGACCTTTCAGGGCATACCCTTCGATGGATGATAAAAACTCAATTTGTCGGCTGCATCTATCTGTAGAGTACCGAATGAAGATCAAGTTATCTTCTTAACACTACCTACGTGGCAACAACTTGTCGTAGCTACTCATACATAGCATGATTAAAAGCAATAAGGGATGGGCATATACGCAATATTTTGACTCGTGGGGCCCACTTCTCAGAATCTGGCTTGTACCGCAAGCGTATTCGTTTTCAATATCTTGGTATAGACGGGCAAAGACGACGTGGAAAGGCTAGAATGGACGCGAAGCTGCGTTTATATTGGCTTTTTGATGAATTTTTGTCAACATGAAAACGGAGGTTTTTCTGAGTGGTTTTGGTGAGACTGAAGTCTAAATGGCAAATCGCCCTTGAACCGCGGAATCCATGTCCTATCTACCACTTGTGACGTCATCAGTTTTAACGGTCAAGGACAATTTTGTCAGCATACTTGTGCAGGGTGAAGAGATCTTTCAAATCATAATCATAGCAGTGCTCGCAATCATAATCATAATCATTTATAATGTGATACGAGTATAACATCTAAAGTAAACCAAAAAAATATGCTGTTTACAGTTGTTTCTTCCCTTCAAGGGTTTGTATTGTAATTAATGTATTTAGCAGCTGCACTAATATTACTTGAAGTCCAAAACCCTTGCAAAGGGAATAAAACGTTTAAAAATTAAGGGCAAATGATATTTTGGAACACCTTACTGACCTCGATTGGCAGCTGAAAAGCGATAAGTCCAGATTTCGTACACAAGTAACAGAAACAACAAAATCATCTCTGACAAATCTCTCAGCGTTTACTCGTCGAGAGCGAGATAGGAATCTGTCGAATGATTAAACCCAGCAAGATATATTTGTCCATGCTTATTTGAACCTAAGTTGGTTAATTAAGTTATACATTATCTTACAGACGTCATATAATGCAAAACAACAGGTTTACAAAACAAAATATAATTTTAACGAAAAGGTTTAAAAGTGTCAATGAAACTATTAGACCAATGTACTAAACAACCTATCTATTCTGAACTGCCTATTTTAAGAAAGACTCAATAAGCTGCTGATTTTATTTCATTTTATTAATTATTAATTTTTGTCTACCAACACACTAGTTTTTGTTTATTAATTTCAAGCTCTCCGAGGTTTACGCCGTATGTTACAATGGCAGGTATAGAGCATTTTCACTCACGTGGCCAGCATCTGTGCAAATTTTTAACGAAAAGGTTTAAAAGTGTCAATGAAACTATTAGACCAATGTACTAAACAACCTATCTATTCTGAACTGCCTATTTTAAGAAAGACTCAATAAGCTGCTGATTTTATTTCATTTTATTAATTATTTATTTTTGTCTACCAACACACTAGTTTTCGTTTATTAATTTCAAGCTCTCCGAGGTTTACGCCGTATGTTACAATGGCGGGTATAGAGCGTTTTCACTCACGTGGCCAGCATCTGTGCAAATTTATTGGAACCAAAGAAAACGTTTGCAGATGAAAAGAGTTCAACTCCCACAGGACTGGTTTGGGACACCAACATGGCCGCCCCTCCATTGTTTTGATATGGCCCCCGAGACGTCATGTGAAAACACTCTATAATAACTTTGGTGGCCTTATCATGAGCAGTGATTACGTCACACTTCCAAGAAAGCTCGGGTTGAATAGGGTTTGAATAAGGTGCTTTGTTGCTAATGTGGCATCCCGCTTCCAGTTGACAATAATTTGGAAACCACTCAATAACTTTACAGTAAGATTTGTCATTGTTGAGGCTAATCATCGTTTTGTATTACATTTACGTTGCATGGTCATTGCAAACTTGTGAAGGTTCCAGTTCTGCCTGTCACTCTATCGGTTGCAATTGGCAAGATGTGCCATGCAAAGCCGCGGTATGGCATGATATCATAGGGCAAGATGTGGTGTGATTTGATAGTTTATTGTATTTCACTGTAGCGTCATAGAAAAAGGTTGAGAAAGTGACTTAGAAATATAGCTTGTTTGCGCAGTGTTTTCGAGACCAACACTTAACGATGCAAAACACCAATTCACGCATACCACGCAAAAACATCAACGCACGTCTGCCCGCTGTTATTGCTCTCCCCACAGTTGTGCAAGTCCCCTCCAAACCATATTCGGAATTCTTGTCCCGCAGACACGGCCAGTGGAGATGAAATGTTGTTAAATGCGAGTATAGGAGCGTTAACACCGACACCGTCAAGCTTATATGAATAGTATGCACAACCAATACCGTCTCCTCGGTATTCTGCTAGTTGCAGGGCTGTCTTGTTCTTAAACGTTATGATGGTTCCCAACTGCTTGTCCCCATACGAGTCATGGGTACATCCCCAATACGATGCAGCTACCTCTTCTGAGCAGCGTATGTTGCCGTTCAAGTGAGCGAGTTTAAACGTGTAGATTAATCCGCTTTCTATGATATTGAAAGCCCCGTATGAATCACCTCGAGCTCCAAAACAGACGGGGTCATTATTGACCTTTTTCCAGTTTTCTGAAAGAGAGGACACCTAACTATGGTTAAAATCCAGTGGCGGATCCCGGGGAGGGACCCGGCGCCCCTCCCTGATTATTAGACCAAACTGAGGCCCGAAGACCCCCACTTATCTCAGGGCCTGGATGACCGCCCCACCCTCCCCCTCCCCTTATCTGAAGGCCTGGCTCCGCCTTTGAAACCGGTATCTGCGCTACGTCAAAGAAAATCAAGACAAAAAAGATTTAAAAATTCATCAATGTCTTTTCCATCAACATAATACCATTAAAACATATTCAGTTCGTGTGCTCAACAGCATTCATAATTCAACATTATATATTTTGACGACTTAGTTTTGGGAAGATCAAAACATCTGGCAATGCAAGGCTGTAAGGTGTTAAAAATTTATAAAATTGCTAATTCAGCCCTTACCGTTTTCACATTGATCGCCAGCTCTACCAGGAGGACAAAGGCAGCGATAACCTTTGTTAGTGAAACCACTTAAACAGGTTGCTTTGAATAAGCAAGGGTTGCTAGAACATGCATTCTGGTGAGGTAATAACAGTTCAACCTTATAAGCAAAAAAGGCTCAGAAAGAAAGACAAGTTACTGTGATAGTACAACAACTTTTAACTTGTGCATGGGTGATGTTGTTGTTATTGTTGATATTTTTGCTTTTACACTTTACGTTGAATCCTTTTTAGACGATCCTAACTCTTGAAGATGAAATTATAGGGCAACTTTAACAGCACTACACTGCTAGAAGGAAATTTCCGTCGTGTCAAGATAATAAACTGTAACTCAGATGCCTTCAACCTTAAATCAATGTATAAATATCATTTTGACATTACTGCTGACATTAATTTAATTAGGTCATTAAGATGTGAAATCGTCCTTTAGCTAACAGATAATACTGCATTGAAACAAAATCAATCGCCACAACCCGAAATTAATCGGCTAATCACTGGTCACATTCACAACGACCGTCTCCTTAGC